CCCTGTGCTGGGTAAAGGTCACAGATGGCACCTGTGCTGGGTAAAGGCCGCAGATGGTCCCTGTGCTGGATAAAGGTCACAGATGGCACCTGTGCTGGGTAAAGGTCACAGATGGCACCTGTGCTGGGTAAAGGTCACAGATGGTCCCTGTGCTGGGTAAAGGTCACAGATGGCACCTGTGCTGGGTAAAGGCCGCAGATGGTCCCTGTGCTGGGTAAAGGTCACAGATGGCACCTGTGCTGGGTAAAGGTCACAGATGGTCCCTGTGCTGGGTAAAGGTCACAGGTGGCACCTGTGCTGGATAAATGCAGCCAACGTTCCTGCCAGAGAGACCGTGACCCGTGACCACAGCGCTGTTTCCATCAGGAGCTTCTGGGGCTGGACCACGGGGCACCCAGAGGGCAGTGGGGTCCTGATGATGTCATGACCTTGGGAGACACTGGGCAGGGATCATGAGCTTCGCTGGGGTGTCACTTTGAATTTCATGTGAACAACTACCTGCCTCCTCCTGAGTTAAGTGTTGTAACAAATAGAAAAAAGGTGCTTTGTAGCCCATTTAAAAACAGGATGTTTTTTGTAACTAATTATAGCAATGGCCAGAAAACATGAAATTATGTGGAGTGAGAGACAAAACCACACCCTAGAAATAAATCCAACAGGTATTCCCTAAAAAAAGAAAAAGTACATAAATACACAGGGTGTCCCCCCAAAAATGTAAACACATTTTGAATAATTATTAACTCCAGTGGGTTAAATCTGAAAAGTAAGACACATTAATTGAGCTATCAGCTATTGTGTATACATATATACATATTTTGGGAGTGTATATATATATATTGTTATATATATAAAGATTTTTAAGTACACATTCTTAAAAGTAAATTTCCCAAGAGATTTTTATAACCTCCACCCAGAGCATGGTCTGATTTTCTAAGGTATTTTTTATTAACAGTTACCCTGTAACTAGTAAAATAAATAACAAAAAAATGCTCACATAAAATACAAAGGGAAAAGTCAGCCTAGAAGACTGAGCAGAACCTCTATTATTTCCCGGAAATTGTTCCTGTGACACAGACACACTCTTTCATATTAATATTTGCTCTTTGAAGGCAGAAACTTGTAACTAGAAATGTTAGTATTTGCCCCACGCCTGTCACCTTGACGGGATCAGGCCTGAGCCCAGCTGTGCTCGAGTCTGTGCAGCTCTGGCTGAGCTCCACGTAATGAAATATTCTGTTTACAGTCTGGGCAAGAGAAAATGTTCGGGTCCAGAGTTAGCAATTTAATATAGCGGACGGTCCTCTCGCCGGGCAGGCGCGAGCCCCTCGCCCAGGCCCAGCCATCAGCTCCGGCGCCCGGCTCCTGGCTCCGCACCGTGGGGTGAACACCCGTGTGTGTCTCCACAGTTTCGTGTTTCTTCAACTTCACGGCGTCCTCGGGGGTCATCCTCTCTCCCAGTTACCCCGAGGAGTACGGCAACAACATGAACTGCGTGTGGCTGGTCATAGCGGAGCCGGGCAGCAGGGTTCACCTCATCTTCAACGACTTCGACGTGGAGCCCCAGTTCGACTTCCTCGCCATCAAGGACGACGCTGGGCCCGACATGACCGTCCTCGGGACCTTTTCGGGGAACGAGGTGCCCTCCCAGCTGGCCAGCAGCGGGCATGTCGTGCGCCTGGAGTTCCAGTCCGATCACTCCACCACCGGCCGGGGCTTCAACATCACCTACACCAGTGAGTGAGCGGGCGCCGCCTCTCGGGCCGCTCCCCGCGCCGGAGGCAGGGACCGGGGTGATGCTTCCGAGGGTTATAGTCAAAATTCACAGTGAGAAGGGCTAAGCTCTAGGTCATGGTCCTGGTGACCGCAGGACACGCCTGTCAGGCTCGGGTCAGGTTCAGCCCTGTAGTAAGGACTGAATCGCTCAG